CTCATGTACGGTGCATTTATCACAATTAAAGGACCAATATCGGTATGTTTTTCTTAACTAAAGTCTATACTTTATTCACATTTCTTCAGTTTTTTTTTTTTCCCCTTAATATTGCTTTTCTGTTTCAGGATCCCATCCAGGATCCCACGTTACATTTTGTTGTCACATCCCCTAGGCTCCCCTTGGTTGTGACAGTTTCTCAGACTTTGTTTTGGGTGACCTTGACAGTTTCAACCAGTGTCGCTCAGATACGCTGTCCCTCAGTCGTGATTTGTCTGATGTTTCTCTACAGTTAGTTGGGTAATGGGGGGAAGACCAGAGAGGGACAGTGCCATTCTCGCCATGTCACCTCGAGGGTGCTTGCTGTCAGTATGGCTTCGCACTGGCGATGTGCGTAACACCTGGCTGAGGTTGTCAGAGGAAGTTACTCTTTTCTTTCTTTGTTTCCATACTGTCCCCTCTGGAAGAAAGTCACCTGCACAGCCCCCATGGAAGAAGTAGGGAGTTATGCGTCATTTCTTGAGTGTAAATTATTTGGAATTCTTCTGCCTGAGAGACTTGTCTTTTTCCCCGTTTATTTGTTACATACATATGTACTATGAACTCATAGATATTTATTTTATACTTTGGATTATGATTCAATACTACTTTATTTTGTCGCTCAAAATTTTCCAACTTTGGTTGTTAGAAACTCCCTCTGTTGGCTCCTGTGTGCCTTTGACATACTCCCGTTGTGGTACATATATAGTTTTTAAGTACTTTCTGATTTTCTGTCTCGACAAGATGTTCCAGACTCATGTGTTTCCCGCCCCAGTCCTAGAATTAGCAATTTCTCTAAGGAGCCCTGGTTCTTTGATTGAAAAACGCTATTAGAACCTAGGATCTGAGTGCCAGGTGATCTTGTTTCTCCTGGGCTGTCACTGCTTCTAGGGCCTTGCCCGTCAGACCGAGGAGGTGTATGCTGTATATATAACCTGTGTATATACCTATATCTATGACTATTCCTGTATGTAACCATCTGTATCTGTATTAAGCTGAACGTGAGTTCATACTGAAGTCTCCAACTCTAATTTGTTACCATGTGGATCATTCTAACCTCCTACCCTTGCTTATCTACCACCTTCCATTCCAGCAGGGACGATCCTGGCTGCCACCATCCGCCGTCCCCTGACCGAACTGTCCCGCTCCAGCATACATGTAATGGTTTCAGCATGGTTAACTCACATCCGTGAAAATCTCTATTCACTGGAGCGCGGTTCCCTTGCCTTTAGTCTTACGGACTCTACTCATTTCCAGAGTTATTTAGGCCAGCACCTGATTCACATTCTTTTTATTCACCTTCTTCGTTTTCAAAATATTCTTGAACATTTCTTGTTTCCGATGAAAAATAAAACACTTAATCAACTCCCTCCCGCCCTCAAATTTCCTGTCGTGATTCTGCTTGGAATTGTGTTAATTCTCGATTTTGGAAAGGACTATCATTTTAAAAAATTTCAATTATTTCCATCTAGGACACATGCCTCTTCCTGTGTTCACTTATTTATTTCTATTAGTAAAGATTTATAGCTTTTTTTCCCTCCCTTCACGCATTTCTTTTTAAAATCATTTCTAAGTATTTTGCTTTTTGTTACTATTTTGACCAGGAATTTCTTTTCCATTACATTTTTTGCAAATGAGTATTGCTAGTATGTTGGAAAGCAACTCATTTTCATATATTTATTTTGCTTCCAACTTTCTTGCTGAAGGTCTTTTTATTTTTAACTGGTTCTAATTTTTCGGGAAACGTCTTGAGTTTTCTACGTTGACGATCATCGCCTGTCCAAATTATAATATCATCTCCTCTTTTCCAATCAAAGATTTCGCTGGCTTGAAATGTGTCACGGTGCATCATCGACTAGAACACGGCTAAGTCAAGGTGGTGGCTGCAGCCATTCTAATTTCTGATGGTACACGGTTGTATGATGTTGGCTCTTGTTTGTGGTTTTCTTCATCAGGTCGAGGAAGAGACTTTCATTCCTGATTTACTAAAGGTAAACAAACAAACGAACAAATAGACAAACTAAAAAACAAACAAACCAAAACAAACCAAAACAAAACCCTAATAGAGGAGAGGTGCTGCATTTTAGCCCGTGACTTTCTGGCTTTGTTCAGATATTCCTCAGGCCATTCTCCTGTTGACCTATAGATGAGATTCCTTGCCTTTGAACTCTGTCCACATTCCTTGCATCGGCCCTGCTGGGTCTTGGTGGATGCTTCTTTAAGATACAGCTGGATTCTATTTGCCAGGGTTTCGTTTAGGAGTTTTGCCTTTTATTTCAATATGTGTGATCAGTAAGTGATTCTTTCTTTGTGCTCTTTGTCACGCTTTAGTTTCAGGGCTTAGCTCTTAGCGTTAATAAATTAGGTTTCCTCCCAAACTTGTAAAATGGATACATGCTTGTATTCTAGTAATACTACTCCCAAGAGATGGAAGCACTTTGAATTATTTTTTGTCTTCTTCCAGACCGCGCGTGTGTGTAATTCACTCATACACACATAATACTTAATATAAAATATGGGATTATGCTATGCATACTGTTTGCAACTTGCTTTCACTCCCCTGGCAATGTATCATAGATATATTTCCATGTCAGGAAGTATAGACCCACCTCACTGTTCTGAGTGACTACATGACATACTACAGGAGGGATCTCAGTTCATCTTGCTCTTGGTTTTTCCAGCCATCCTCATACTGTGGAAAATAAGTTGCTTTCAGTTTCTATACAATAAATACATACACATTTGCAAACATAGAGATAGGGGAGGTTCCCAGAGATGCGATTGCCTTATTAAAGCATGTGAGCATTTTCAGTTTTGGTAGACATCGCCAAATTGCCCTCCAAACATGCCGTACTGTCTTGCCCTCCTACCAGCGGAGTCTGAGGCTACATTTTCCCCATTCCCTTGCTGGCATCTGGGGACATCTCGCTTCCTTTTTTTTTTTTGCTAACTCCATAGGTGAGAAATGGTGGCGTGCTTTAATTCGCATCTGTTTGATTGTGGGTGAGTTTGAGCATCTTCTCTGGGTCCCTAGGTGCGCCATCAGCTTTCCTCTGTGGTTTCAGTGGGTCAGGGGCTGGGATGCGGGCAGGCAGAGCAAACGTGCTCAGTTCATAGAATTGCCTGTGGGCTGGGGCGGCTCTGCCTGCGGCTGCCTTCTCTGGGGTGTGTGTGTGTGTGTGTGTGTGTGCGCGCGCGCGTGTGTGTATTTACTATCACCCTGGAGTGACTTTGCTATTAACTAGCCTCTCATGAAATAGACGTGATCAGTCTTGCTGGCCTGGCGATGGTGCATCTCTCCTCAGAGACCTGTAGGTCTGAGCTGGATTAGGCATGGCCCTGTCACTGATGACAGCTCGTCAAAGGGTGGCATTCCTACCCTGAGTCTGTGCAGGGCAGACTGTGAGGAGAGACAGGCTGGGGTGTCTTTGAGACAACAAGGTGAGGACGCAGTGGCTTTGAGGTGGAGGCTGCACCAAAGGGCCAGGGGTGGGCTGCGTGTGTTAGGTCGGCTTTACAGCATGTGTCTGGGCCCCAGGGATCCCCTACGGACCCATTATTTACTCACTCGATATGTGACTCCTGTGGGATTATCACGGGCTAGGCAGGGTGCCAGCCTGCGGTGGCACCTTCAGTGCAGCCAGGCCCACAGCAAAGGGCCAAGTTCATTAACCGCAGTGTGGTCCCTTTTACAGTGAGGCTGAGGCTGCTCTGAGAGGTGGGGAGACAGGAGTGACCTTTAAGTTGAGGCGGAGGAGCTAGGTGGTTGGGACAGGGTCTGTACAGGACGTGGAGGAGCACTCTGGCTCTGAGGCTGGCGGGAACGTGGGCCAGACTGCCTCCTCGAAGATGGGGAGGGCTGCCTGACGTGGACACTCTAGGCAGAGCCAGCATCCGCCAGGTGTTTAGGGCAAGGGGCCCTTCTGAGGAGGCCTTCAGAGACACCAAGGAGGAGGCCGAGGATGGTTCTGGGGCCATTTTGGCCCCTTGGACGGAGCCACTTGCCCAGTTGGTTCCTGCCCCACCCTTTCTGTCCAATGTTGGGGGTGTCTTCAAGGGGCTCACCCAGACCTGTGCTCAGGAACTGTTGGAATTCTGGAAGGCTGGACTTCATTTTCTCCAGCCCCTGCCTTTTAGAAATGAGAGCACTGTCTTGGAGAGGGGACGCAGTTTGCCCAGAAGGGTGGCAGATCGAGGGACCCTGACTGGGGCCACTGCAGCTGTAGGAGGGGGTATGCGGGCATCCAGAGTTGGCCGCAGGATTCAAGCTCTACTTTTGAGGAGCAGGGAGGGTCAGGCCCTGGGAAGAGTCCTCGATATGAGGTCCTTCTGAGACTGGACCCCTGGTACCTGGCTGTGGCCTTGACCGACTCCACTGGGACACACGAGGCCGGGCGAGGGACTGGAGCATCGCCTAGGGGAAGGGCTGAGTCGTTCCTCCTCCTGTATTTTCCCCAGACATCCCAGAGGCTCTACGCCTTCCTCTTGTCAAATGGAAAAAATCTGCCTATTAAGAGATGATTCCGGGCCAGGCTTCTGGGGCTCAGATGCTCGAGATGGCAGCAGTGGAATTAGGTCACGGGGTTTAATCATCCCTGCGACCAGCGGGCTCTGCTCGGAGGGACTACATGCTACAGCTGCCCATCTTTTTGGCAAGTGCCCGCCTTCAGTCACGAAGCCCCCTCCAGGGTCAGGAATGAGGGACAGGGGAACACGTTCCGAGCACCCGCAGCTTCGTGGTGATTGAGCCTGGGGTCAGACTGACCCCAGTTTGAATCCCATCTCTGCTGCTTCCTTGTTATAAGATCTTGGGCAGGTCAGTTTACCTCCCTGGGCCTCAAATTCTCACCTATAAAATGGGGATAATAAATAATAGATTTCATAGGTTGCCGTAAGGTTATTCTGAATGAACGTATGCCAAGGGCATAGAACAGAACTGGCGTTTAGTAAGTATTTAAACGATGGTAGCCATCATCCTCATCCTCAGCCCCATCGCGGTTGGAGACAGTAGTGCTCGTGGCAAAGGGCACAGGCTTCGGAGCCACACGTGGATTTAGACCTCATTCTTGGTCGAATAGTGTCTTCACAAAAGTCGCATCCTTCCTAAAAGCTCAGAATGTGACCTAATTTGGAAATAGGGCCATTGATGATGTAATTAACTAGGATGAGATTATAAGAGTGGAGAGGGCCAATACGGCCGGTGTCCTGATAAGCGACAGAGACAGACACGAGGAGAAGGCTCCGTGACAATTGGCAGAATTCGAGTGATGATGTGTCTATAGGTCAAGGAACGTTTTATCTCTCCAAGGAGAACTCTGGCCAGAATCGGCTCCTGCCCTCTCGTGAAAGGAAGGGCCATCCTCAGTCCTCCTCTCCCCGAGGAGGAAGCACATGGATCGTGGGAAAAGGACAGTGCTTCCCACTGGAGTCCATTTCATTCACTAGAACCCACTTCGCCAATGCCATTTTCTCATGTTGCCGTGAAGGAGAGAGACCGTGGTCAGCCTAGCCCTGGTCCAGCGATGGGGACCATCAGGGTAGGCGGATGTCACTGACAGATCATGGGGACAGGGCCGACCAGATTCACAGCTGGGCACTGTGGATGCTCCACTTGGTCTGAGGCCAACGGCGCTTGCGGTTGCTTCAAAGCCAGGGGTCGTGTGAGCAAAGCCAGGCGTGAGGGCTGCGTCTCTACATTGACCATGGACAAGTAGTCGGATCAGAGGCAGGGACATCTGAGGATGGGAGGACGGTTACGAAGGTACTGAATTTACATCCAAAGTCTTTACAAATGGCCTTGCCTTTGACCCGGCCATTCTGCTTATGGGAATGTATCCAAGGAAATGAACTAGTGCTTACATGTAACATATCAAGATGCTCTTAGCAACATTGTTCGTTATAAAAATTGGAAACAAAGCAAGATGGGATTTGGCAGGTCCGTTATTAGACATTTATGCAAAGGAAAGACTTTGTAGCCATTAAAAATGATTTTGAACCGAGTAGTTGACCTTCTAGAAAGACGCTCACAATATGTTATTCAGTGAAAAGAATCAAGTTAAAAATATGTATGTTATTTATTTTTAAATAGAAATTCCGCTTATGATAGTATGCATTTATGTAAGTTATACTTATATGTTTATAAACAGGCATAAAAGCTTTGAAGGTTATTTGTAAAAATTAAAATGACCATTTCTGGTCTGTGGATTTCCCTTCTCTTTCTGCCTGTCAGGAAGTTCTGTGTGCAGTCCCCAGGGAGCAGTTGTTGAACTCAGATTCTGGGGTTTTACAGGCCGAGGCTCATATCCCAGCTCTGCCGGTTACCGGCTGTGTATCTTCGGGCAAGTTACTTAACCTCTCTGGGCTTCCATTTTCTCCTCTGTAAAATGCGCCTAAGACTTGGACCTCCGGGTGCCAGGGAGAGTTCAGCGAGTTGGCACTCAGGAAGCACCTCAGCGCATGGCCTGATTCTTAGTAACTATTCAGTACATGTGTCTCTCATGCCATTTTTTTTTTTTTTTACAATGAACTTGTATTATCATATAATAAACAAATGAACACTAAGGAAAATGATTGCTTTTCTTAGTCAAACCAGAATTTGAGGACCTCATATTAGAGCAAGCCTGTCTTTGTCTTTCTGTCTGCCTTATGTGGGGCTGCGGCACACGGCGGGGTCGGCTCCCATCTGCGGAGCCCTCGTTCTGTGTCGAGCTCCCCGTTTCGCTCCCTGCCTTCGCTGAATTCTCACAGCGATGGTTCTCAGCTAGGAGAGATGGTGTCACATGCCTCGTGTTACAGATGGGGAAACTGAAGCTCGGGACAGTGAAGTAAGCTCCGAGAGGCCCCATGGCTGGTGAAGGACGGAGCCAGCATTCCAGACAGATCTGTCTGAGGTCAAAGGCTGAGAGTTTGGCTGAATTCGTTGCTGCGGAGTTCAGAGAGAGGGGGGTGGTGGGGAAGGCTTAGGAACATCCCAAGTGGGTGAGAAAGGGGGCGTTGGATGTGATGAGTACAGAACAGAGAGGCTGGGGCCTCCAGGGGGGGTGACTCTTAAAGGGTGTGGCAGACAACTGGTGTCTAGACTCTATTCTTGATGATTGTGGATGGATGCTGGATTCTGTGGGCTTTCTTTTCTAAGAAGGGTTGAGGCCGGCTGACTAGTTGCCGAGTATGGGAATTTTTTTTTTTTAGGGGACCGGAATTTAAACTTCTTGAACTAAAAATAGTCCATTGCTACAGTTCACCAAGGACTCAACTGAACCATTTTCCTAAGAAATCTGAAGTCCGTACAACCTTTCACATAGTTTCGACGTCTACGTAACCACCATTATGCCCATACCTACCTGGCGAGTTGGAATTCTAGCCCCATTGCTAGTCTTATGTTAGCTGTGGCTCTGAATTACTGCTCTTATGAAAAACCTTTTTACCAGGAAACGTTTCAAATATATACGAAGTAAGCAGACCAAAATTTATACGAAGTGTAATAATTATGTAAAGTATAATAATCCCCTCGTACTCATCACCCAGCATCACCACATATAAAAAAAATGCTGCCATCCTGGTTCCATCTGTACCTCCTCCCACCCGCCAGCAATGATCATCGTTTTTATAGATAGTTCTTTTCTTATGAGGTCAAATTTACATACATTGAAATGCACAAACCTTCACTTTACACTTCTGACACACGGAGACACCCATGGAGCCCACACGCCTATCACAATAAGGAACATCCCCGCCATCCGAGGTGGTTCTCCCGCATCTCCCTGCCCCCCAGACAACCTCTGCTCTGATTTCTTTTCACCTTAGGTGCATGCCGCCTGTTCCAGAACTTTCTATAAATGGAACCAGATAGTATGCACTCTCGTGTCTGGCATCTCTCCTGATGTCTATGAGATTCATCCGCGTGGTTGCCTGCATTGGTAGCTTATTCCGTTTCCATGGGAGTAGTATTTAATTATATGAATCTACCAGAGTTTGTTTATTCATGCACTAATGATGGACAGTTGGCTTCTTCCCGGTCCTGGGTTAGTATAACAATAACCGCTGTGAACACTGGAGCACAAGTCTCGGTGTGGACATATGTTTTCATTTCTCTTGGGTAAATACCCGGGCGTGGAAGGCCTGGATCATGTGGTAGCCGCATGTTCAACTTTTCGAAATTTCCATTTGTCTTCCAAAGTGGTCGAACCATTTCGCATTCCCACCAGCAGTGCACGAAGGTTCCAGTTTGCTCGGAAACCTCGCCAACTTTCGGTGTAGTGAACCTTTGTCATTTAATTCTGCTCTTTTTTAATGAGCTAATATCTGGGTGGAGTTTCTGGAAGATTTTAGCCTTGTGGACCAGCCTGGTGTTGCACAGTCGCTGCGAGGTCCAAAACATTATTTGCTAGATTCTCTGTTTCTCGATCCCTTTCCTCTTGCTGTTTTGTGGGGGTCTCTGAGGTCCAGGCTCCTTTCCCGTCTGGTGGCACATTGCGTAATTACCGCCGCAGCCCACGGAGGCTGTGCATCCGGGAGTCCGAGCCCGCCTGGACCTCTCTCTCTCTCCCCCTACAGATATTGGCCCAGTGACCCTCACGGCGGACCCCGCGGTGTTTCAGAGGGAGTTGAGAGAACTCTACGTGCAGGTGGGCTGCCCACCCCCCGCTGCGGGCCCCCTGGGCTGTTCTTTCCAGTTCATGTCAGACGCCAAGGTCTTTGTGCCACCCAGGGGGACAAGGTGGCAGCTTCCTGCAGATTCCAGTACCTGCCTCTCAGCTCTGCCTATGGCCAGCTTGGGGGTCCTGGAGATTTTGTACTTCTTGGGGTTCTTTCTTATTCAGTAAAACAAGTAACCTATAGGAACCCCTGTGTCTCGCACGTGGTGGGTGCTTATGACTTAGTGACTGGATGAAGGGGTGGAAGGAGGGTGTGGTAGCTGAGGGAGGCTGTGAGAGGGTTCAGTGCAGACCCCCGAAACCAGGCCTTCGATGGTCAGATGACCCACAGTCACCTGGGCTTCTTTGCCATAGTGAACACCCCGGTCCTGCTCTGTGCTTCTCCCGCCCACCGAGACCAGCAGCTTCCTTAGACCCCACGCTTTGGTCTGGGCCACAGCCAGGTCCCCCAGGGCCCAGCACAGAGAGGGTGAACGTGGGGCGCATGAGTGAACAAGGAGAGGGGTTCCTGTGGCCGGGCTGAGCATGAGCAGATCCTGTGGCCAGGCTGAGCATGAGCCCCTGGGCGAGACGGGGTGGGCACCCCCTCCACCCCCCGATCCTCGAAGCCTTGGCCGACACGTGGCTTCACTGGGGCATCTGTTAGATGTCCCGGCGGCTCCCATCCGTCCTCCCCCACACCTAACACTCATCACGATGGTAATTAAATCATCGCGTTGCGCTTATTAATGTAGCGTCTGCCTCTCATACCAGACCCTGCGGGAGGGGCCGTGTCACTCTTGTGTGGGTGAGCGAATGAATGATGCCACTTGTCTAAAGCTGAAGCAGATCAGATGCCGCTCGAGTCTCAGGGCAGGGGGTGGCTGGGGCCCTGGCCTCAGCCCTGGGTGGGATTGCCCGTTGCCTGTCGGTTTCCGGGGGTCTCCCCGGGCGGGCCCCACCTTGGAGAGGTGGGCAGCAGCCCCTGACACACCCCCGTCCTCCAGGGAGGTGGGGACTGCCCCGAGATGAGCGTGGGGGCCATCGAAGCTGCGGTGGAGGTCGCCGGCCCCGGCTCCTTCATCTTCGTCTTCTCGGACGCCCGTGCCAAGGACTACCACAGAAAGGACGAGGTGCTGAGGCTCCTGCAGCTGAAGCAGTCGCAGGTGAGCAAACCCGCCTGGGGGTCTTGAGCGTGGGCAACACCAGGGGTTCCTGAGGAAGCTGGGGTCCCCAGCGCAGGCAGCCTCGCGCCCCCGCCTGGGGTCCGGCCTCCACCAGCCCCGCCGGCCAGTCCCCAGCCCGGAGCGGGGCTGGAGAAGTCCAAGTGCGTCATCAGGCTCCGGCCCCGCCCGCCAGGGCTCGCGCCTCCCTGGTGAGGCGCGTTCATGATGGAGACCACACCACACTGGCCTGCCCTGCCCTGTCAGCGTCTGGGCCCTCCATCTTCCCCCTGGCGTCGCCTCTGCCCACCCCCTCGCCGCACACACACGTGGCCCGTTTCCCGTCGTCTCAGGGTCTGGAAGACGTGCTGGGGCTTTGGCTGCCCCGCGAGGCGTGGGGGACGGGGCGTGCATGGGGGAGGGAGGCGGGCCGCCCATTCGACATCCCCGGGTAAGGTCCCAAGGGCTGGGACAGCTGCCCTGCGCTCCTGTGCGGAGCAAGCTTGGTTCTGCTAACCCTGCAGGCTCCAGGGGGCCCTCGGAGCAGAGGGCATTTCCGTTCCTTTCCTCGTAGCTTTGGTGACAGCTTCCGTTGACTGAGTACCTGCCATGTTCCGGGTCCTGTGCTGACCCCGATCAGTCCTGATCCCCACGGGGCGGGTGCTCTTATCATTCCCGATTTACGGATCTGTCACCTGAGCCCGGAGAGAGGAGCGGGCTTGCCTCGGTCACTCCTCCTGGGTCTCATCCCTGCCACTCACTCACACCTGAAGCAGGTGGCTGGGGAAGCGATGAGCCAGGCTGCATGTCCCCTCTCTCTTCCAGGTGGTCTTCGTGCTGACTGGGGACTGTGGTGACCGCACCCACCCTGGCTACCTGGCTTACGAAGAGATTGCTGCCACCAGCTCTGGGCAGGTGTTCCACCTGGACAAGCAGCAGGTGACCGAGGTGAGCCTTCGCCGACTATCCTGCGTCTCTGGGCGGCTCTGCCGGTGGTTGGGTCACCGTCGCAGATGAGCAGTGCTGAGTGCTCACCCCCGTGGCAGGACAGGAAGTGTCGTGCTCAGGTCTCATGACACCATCCTTATGACATCGAGCCCTCCCACCCTCTTACCCACCCCAGAGGCAGGTGCTACGGGTTTCCCACTTTTGCTGGTAAAGAGGCTGGGGCTTGAAGGAAGCGCCCTGGGTGTTAGCCTCAATACCGCAGCTGGTCCAGGCTGGGAGGATGGACCTAGAAAAATGTGGCAGTACTAGGGTGTGGGGTGAGCTTCTCCCAGCTTCAAGGAACCCAAGGGTGGGCAGAGAAGCATGGGCGGCCATCAGATTCAGGCTGTGTTGCTGGGACAGGAAATCCTGCTTGAGGACTCGGCGGGGAGGGACTTGCTTGGCCCTGTGGCCTGACGTGCGGGGCTGGCGATGGTCTGGATCCACTCCGGCCGGCGCTGACCAGGTGTTTGCATCCCCATCTTGTTCTCGGACCAGGTGCCTGCCCTTCCATCGGCCGCTCGGGGCTCTCCCCACTTGCCCTCTACCCCATGTGTCCGTTCCTTCTCAGGGGCCAGAGGAATGCTTCCAGGGGCATGCTGGCCAGTGCTGCACAGCCCTCTCCCTGGGAAGAACACGGGCGCTCACTTCCGCGGTGTAAATACTCCTGCCTCGGCTGCTTGCAAGCTGCTGTCGTGACCTCGCTGAGCAGAGTTGGGGCACGGCCGACCTTCTCGAGCCTGTGTGAGCTGGATCCAGCATCCCACTGCATCCTTCTAAAACAAATCTGACCCACAGGTCCCTCCCCTCGAGCCGGAGAAGGTCCAGACCCTTATCTGACCTCGGCCTGGCTGATCCCGTTGCCTTTGCCCACCGCTGCTGTGCCACTGGCCTCTCTGCCGTTCCTTCATTGTCTTACGTCTTCCCTACCCCAGGGCCTTTGCTCACGTGCCTCCCTCGTTTCCTGCCTCCCCTGGCTCCCTCTCATCTTCTCCATCTCAGCACCTCCTCAGGGGGGCCTCCTTGATTTCCCGTCAAGACGAATCTCCTTTCATACCCGTTCCAGGCCCCCCCCCCACCCCGCCCCGTGCTGCTTTACGTAATGCTAATTTTACAACTGTGTGGTTATTTAATGCCACTAGGCAGGGAGCTCCCTGAGGGCCAGGCCCGTAGGGACCCCCTTTGCTACCGTATCCCCAGCACATCGCAGGTGCTCGGTATGTAGCTGGCGAGAGGACAGACATGAGTCCCCGGTGCCTGAGGCCCTGGGAGGAGGAAGGCGAGAGAAGCCCCGGCTTGGAGCCAGCCCAGCTGTCGCCTCCTGGGGGGAGCTTCGTGTGCTGTATGTTTACGGACTGAAGAGAACAGGCCATGTTTACATTAGTGTGCCTTAACTCCCTGTTGACAGATGGCGTTTATCGTTCCCTGCGACACGTTAGGCTTTATTTTTTTGGCACGTCTGACTCTTCTGGCCCCGAGCCGGCCAAGGGAGGGTGGGAGGCGTTTCAGAGGATGGGATGGCTTCGTCCTGTCCTGGTTTTTTGGGGAGACATATTTGGGCAGTTGCACGGGAACTGGGTTCCTGCCAGGGACAAATCAGATGGCAGGGCTGCCGGGCGAGTTGGTGGAGGATGGCTTGCCCGGATGTGGGGCTGGGCCCCCCTGTTCTCTTCCTTGAGGCGGGGAAACTGGGGAGTGGAATCCACCTGCTCCTGGCCCTGGTGCCAGCCTTCTGCCCTGGGAGCCTGGCTGGGCAGTGGGACCTCAGTGTCTGGCTCCGTGGGACTTCAGTGGCCAGGACTGAGCCTCCAGATAGGAGCCTGGCCTTCTCCTTCCTGGACATGGAGCTCCGTCATTTGTTAGCTTAATGCCTTGGACGTGGCCCCTTCCAGATGTTCTCAGACATTCGGCAAGCCTGGGAAAGTGGCCGCAGCAGCGAGGCCTGTGGTCATCCTTCCAGGAGAGGGAACGGGGCCTGCGCCAAGCCAAGGGTGCTTCAGCTGGGAGGAGTCCTCACAAGTTGCAGAAGTCCCCACACCACGTGTGTGTGGCTAGTCCTTTCACCTTCTTGAAGTAGGCCCAGCACGGCTGGAGCGACACACTCCTCACTCGCTCCCCTCCCTTCATTTATTGAGCACCTACTATGTGTCCGTGCCACCTTCGGCGCCGGGCGCGGAGGGATGCCCCACCAACCTTAGAGCCCTGTGCTTTTGAGCACTGTGCTTTTTCCACTTGTGGGGTTGACCTCGCTGGTGCCAGGGATCCCCTTTGGGTTTCTAGGGGTAACTAAAAAGTGACGATCCCTTCTCCCCAGCAGAAGTGATTTGGAGCCTTGCTGTCCTTCGGCAGAGGGGGCGGCAGCAGCATGGCCCCTGGGGCCTGTCCCAGAGGTGTGCAGTTTTGATTAAGACTTAGCTAGGTCCAAGAACCCCCTTGCTCCAGTACAGCTGTCCCCAGGCTTCCCCCGACTCAACGCACTGTCACCAGCCCCGCGGGATGGGTCGGGATTGCTGGGCAAACCCCATCACCCTGCTCCCTTCCTGGGTCCTGGACAGCCCTGTTCTGGGGGCTTGGACCCTTCCCCCGTCTAGCACCAACAGGTGCAAATGGGGCAAGTTTCCCAGATTCTGTGCATCAAGTAGGGGAAAAGTGAACCTCTTTCTAGGACACTAAGTAGGAGAAGGGAGGTCCTCCCAGGTGGTTCTGATTAACGGATCAGGAGGCCCAGGCCCCGGAGATGACTTCATCCTGGACCCTTCCCAGAGGCAGAGGTGTGGTGGAGGGTTAGGGCCACATGCCGGCTTCAGACCCCAGCCCTGCCACCTGCCTACAGTGTGACCTCGAGCTCTGTGTTGACCTCTCTGGGCCTCTGCTTCCTCGTGTGCACTGTGGGGTCGGGAGAGCCGCTGCCTAGGGAGACAGCAGTGAGGGCGAAAGGGAAAACCGTGCGCGGGGAGCCCTCGGTGTGAGGCCGGGTGCCGGGAGCCCTCGGTGACGGCAGGCGGTGGCTGAGACCTCAGCCTCTGTGCTGCAGCGCGGAGCCCAGGATACACCCCGCCTCCAGCGAAGCCCCCTGAGGGGTAAGGGCTGTCTCTGGAAAGGTTCCCGGGAAGGTGGAGCCTGGGCCGAGTGCCTGGCACGCCGGGCCGGCAGGGGCTAGTGCCGTCTGCCCGTCGGCGCCCGCGAGCTTCCTGGCACACAGTCCCGGGGTCCGGCCCTCGATTTTCCGGTCTGCGGCTCCGAAGCCCGTCTGGGCCCTGGCTTCCCTGGCTGTCAAGTGTCCTTGGAGGAGCCTTGGGGGATGAGTTATCTACCATGAAAGGCGGTGCGGCAGGCATCTGGCCGGGGTAGCAGCGCCAGATTCTTTCATTCCTTCCGTCAGTGATGGAGAGATGAGCCCCACTCTCCAACACCAACTCCCAGCGCCGCCCCCGCACCGTCCCCATTCCGCCTGACATCTGGAAGCCATCGCTCTCACCAAATAAACACTAAGCTTTCTTGATGAGCACTTACTACTCGGAAGGCTCCCTGGATTCCACTCTGAGCCCTGGGGGCACTGTAGGGCCCAGAAGGCTCTGCCCCCAGGCCTGGGCCTATAGGGGGTCTGGCCTTGCTGTGGTCAAGGGAGTCATTCCCCTTCCCAACGCCCAGCTCCCGAGTAGCGGTGTGCTCAAGGGCAGGCGCCTTCTGGTGAGGTCACCGGCGTTCTGTCCCATCTCGGCCCTCCCCGTGGTTCGGTAGCTTAAAATCCTGGCCGTTTCCCTCCATCAGAACATTCTAGAATGAGCTTATGATGACAGTTGCAACACAGTAGCGGTGTGACTCGTCTGGGTATCATCAGCTGGTGCTGCCACCTCCTCCTGGCAGCTTCCCTCAGTTACGCTCTAGTCCTGACCCCTGACAAGGCCTGGCCCGGGGACAGAGGACAGTGGCTACAGAGCTGGTGCTTTGCAGTCGGTGGAGTTCCCTCACTCGTTTCTCCGGCTTCTGTCCAGCTGGGAGCCCGAGCTGCAAGCTTTCTTCCAGTCCGCCCCCGCATGGACGGAGAATCTTGTTCCCATTCCTTGGTGAAGACAGGTGGGGCCTTTTCAAGAGAAACATTACTTAGAAAGCTAGGCAAAACAGCAGAATGAAGTAGCTCCAAGTATACAAACAGATGACTTTTCAGAACATAGAATTCTTATCCTGTGATAACTTAAATCCCGCTGTAAAATCTAGACACATATGTTCCAGCTCAGTCCAAACCAAACATACATTTCCTAAATCTCAGGCAATCCTTCCGATTCTCTTCTTTTCCATGGCCTTCTGCAGAAGACCACGTGGTTGGCAGAGCTGACGGACAGTGATTCAGAGCAAGGATGGCCAACATGTAGCATGCAAGACAGTACTTTCTAATCCCGTGTCTATGGCAGACATTACTAATCAATCGCAGAACTCTTTCTACTTAAGGTGGAGTGTGGACTCTCGTTTCTTCTTCAAACAGGATTCCAAGAAGCCACTTGCAGTTGGTTAGAGTTCTCAAGCAGCAGGATACCATTACGGTTGTGGTTGCCGAAGTACCTATCATGATATGCGTATTCTTTTTAAGTGGCTTTTACTTTAAAAATTACTATGAAAGATGTCAAAGATATAAAAAAAAGACCGTAGGTACCAGCTAGATTCATCCATTAACATTTTGGCTCTACCTGCTTCATCTCTCTCTATACTTTTTGCTGAATCGTGACACGTTGTCCATAGATAATTCAGCATGGATTTTTTTTTTTTTTTTTAAAGCTGATCTCCAGCATAACCTACGATATCACCTAACTAATAGTACTTCGCTAGTAACATCGAGTGCTGAGTTCTTATTCAAATTTTCCTAATTGCCCTCAATGTATTTTATAAACATTTTTGTCCAATCGGGATTTGATTAAGGGCGTTTCACTTCATTTGGTTGTTATGTCTAGGAAGGTCTTCTCACATCTGGAGCTGTCTGCCGCTCACTTGTTGAAGAGGCATCGATTTTACAATGTCCCTTGTTTCAGATTCATCTGGTTGTTTTCTTATGGGGTTATGAGCTTGTTCCTTTGTCCCCTATGTGTCCCCTAAACTGGGTGTTAGCTCTAAATGATTGATTAGATGGAAGCCAACATTTCTGGCAGAGATACTTTATCGTTGGCGCTTTGTATATTTTCTATTACATCACACCAGAAGGCAAACGATGCCTAATCGTCGTACTATTAATGATGATAAGTTCGGTTGCTGGGTGAAGGTGATGACAGCCAGCCCTCTGCATTGTAAGGCCATGTTTTCCCCTTGATGACTCAAGGGGCCTGTGGGGGAACGCTGGGGCTCCATGTGGACGTCCAGTTCCCCATCAACCTTTCATGTAACGGTTTGAGCATCCACTGAGGATGCTTGCCCGAAACACTTATTTCATTAGAGGTTGCAAAATAGTTGGATTTGCTAATTGCATCATTCCTTGAACATTTTTTTTAGTGGGCATTCTTCCATGAAGAATAGCTTTTGCTCATCGAAAGGGGTGATTCGGTTTCTCTGAGGCACGGTTTCTATCGAAAAGGCAAGGATCGCACTTAGTTCTTTCTCTTTAATGAAGAAGTGGCCTTCATTGGTGGCACGTGAGGTTTTACTGCTTTGAATTTTGCATTTTTTTTTTAGTATTATTGTGGATAGGTGGATTGCATAATTCAATGTATTTCAATCGGTTACAGTCATTATTCTATCTTGGGCTCAAATTGTCCCAAATTTAGCCAATGGGAGGTCCTTCAAGCTGGTTCCTATGCCCTTTGGCTATGTCCTCATTGGTCTCTGAGAGCTTCCTTGCTTTATGGAATTACCAGTTGTCCCAGGCTTACCTTGGCAATTGCCTGTCTCAGACCTAGAATCAGCCATTTCCCCAAGAAACCCTAGCGGGGAATGATATTAAGAAACCGCTGAGTTCTGAATTCACTTGGAGTGAGTATATATATAACTAAAATACCCACAGCTCTCTTTTATACTTGGCTGTAAGAGGGTATCTTGGTCCAGAAACCATTACCACCCATACTTCTTTATCCTACAAGATACATAAAACAGTTTCACAATCACAATACTAAATCACAAAAACTACTAAATGAGCGTGTCCTTGCCATTCTTTTTGTCCTCAGGGTGCCTCCCACTGAGAAAGTAACCCCTGGGTGTTCTCTTCACTTGGAGCCATTCTTTTCTCTCGGCGGTTAGGGTACCAATTTGCCATACAGCCAGGTTCAGGCTTCGTTTTGTTTCGGTTTCGGGGTTTGCACAGGATGCTTCTCGAAGTAACTTGGCCCAGAAAGAGAGGCTCTGACTGGAGCGGCCCCCTCCTCTCGCTCTTTCCTGGTTGACCTGCTGGAACCTGGGAGCCTTGGCGATTGCGAAGGAGGAGGCGTGAGCTGGGGGTGGGGGCTGGCGGAATTGAGTGAGGCTTCGCCTGAGGCGAACCTGATGGCTTTGTCCGGGACGTGCGTGTCCTGCTGTAGCACACACAGTGAACGGAGCTTCTCGAGCACCCACTGTGTGCCAGCCGCCGAGCTCGGGCACAGCAGAGGGTCTCTGCCTTCACGGGGCTCCCAGGCTGATAGGGGAGACAGGCCCAAATCTGGTAAATACGACCAACTGGGGTGCAGATTGCTGCAAAGGCGTGTGTACCAGGGAACCGAACCTCTTCGGGATTGGAGAAACCTCCTCAGGCTGACAGGTGAAGGATGACCAGGCCTTGGTTGATGAGAGGGGGCGGGGCATTTCTGCAAAGAGAATGTGCGTGATGTGGGGGCTGCTTAGAGAGGCATGGGGGTTCAGCCCAGAAGCACGAGGAGAGTCAGGGGGCACAGTGGCCTTGGGTCAGTTTGGACGGGTGAACCAAAGAATGTAGGGTCTTGAAGGCCATGGTAAAGATTTGGAGAAATGAAAGAATTTTGTGCTCAGTGGGATACCGTCCTAGAATCTGGGGTTATTAGCATGGGGTCCATGCACTCTTGGGGGACAGCGATTGAGGGAGTTGGGGAACCTCCCAAAATCATGCTCTAAATGTGTGCCATAGTGGTATTCTGTAGAGAGAGTCCTTGCCTGTTACCTGATTTTCAATCAGATCTGTCTAAACCATGAAGGTTGTAGAATGAATAAGCCATTATAGAAACCAAGGATTTGTGATTTCTCCATACTGTGAAAAGCATCAGTAGGAGAGTACGTCTTTGTGGCAGATCCTCTCTGTCCTGCCTAGAGACAGCATGGGACTGTGGCCCGAGGCCCCTTAGGGGAGGTGAACTGCATTGGTCTGGAGGAGATTCCAGGTCTCCAGGGGTCACGCATGTGTAAGAAGCATCGGGAGGGCTTCCTGGAGGAAGTGATGGGTGACATAGAAGTTGGCCAGGTGAAGAAGCAGGGAAGAGTCCTCCCAGCAGAAGGGCACGCCTGGCTCCTTTCCTCCGAGCTGAGTCCTCTGGATGCCTCAATTCACGCGTCATAGCCCCGTGTCCACAGGCCAGGAGAGTAACTGTTTGTGAACTGGTCGTGGTGGAGCCCAGGGGGCATGGAGTGGCCTTGGGTGACTTGGAAATTATTTACACTGCCTAAAACCCATTGGGGGAACCAGATTCTGCACACAGCTGGCAGCCTGTTAGGGACCTGCCTTGGGTGGGTCAGACACAAGCAAGATATCACGGGCACCTGCTAGCATCAGCTTCTCACATCTGCCCGCCAGGTGCTGAAGTGGGTGGAGTCAGCAATCCAGGCCAACAAGGTGCACCTGCTGTCTACAGACCACGAGGAGGGCGGTGAGCACACGTGGAGGATTCCCTTTGACCCCAGCCTGCAGGAGGTCACCGTCTCCCTGAGCGGCCCGGGGCCTGAGATTGAAGTTCGAGACCCGCTGGGTATGTGCGCCCAAGGCTGGCCTCCCCTTTGCCCCCAGGACTGAACTGGGAGTCCAGGTTGGGGCAAAGAGAGAGACCTGGGTGTTTGGACACAAGTCTCCGGGATCAAAGACGGCTGGGAGGATGTCAGGTGGAGGGCAGAGGGTCACTGTGGTGGGCGAGGAAGCCAAGTGAGGGGAATTAAAATAAGGACAGTCCTTGGGGTGCAAGGCTCTCATGGAGTCTGCCCACCACGCTCCCTCAGCGGGTTCCTGCAGTGGCCTGGTGTGTCTGTCAGGGCAAGAATTAGTGGCATGCTGTTCAGATGGGAAGCTAGGCTTCTGGAGTGACTTGTCCAGGTCATCCAGGTCCATGTGATTTGGATCTGGCCACCTGGCTCCATAGTGTGCTGAGTATGGCATGAGCACCCTGGTCTGGGGAGGGATGAGGGTGGAGTATACAGTGAGGTGGAGGCCTGAGCACCACCGAAGGCCTCCCAGTTCCTCTGGTGTTTGGAGAGGTGTGGGGACAGGGTAGGGCCTCTGTCATCTCCCCTAGGAAAGGGTCAGGGGCTGAGAAGTCCTTGGGGTTTCCACAGGGAGGATCCTGCAGAAGGACGAGGGCCTCAATGTGCTGCTCAGCATTCCTGACTCGGCCAAGGTCGTGGCCTTTAAGCCTGAGCATCCTGGGCTGTGGTCCATCAAGGTAGGGAGCACTGGGTTCCCAGGTGGTGGGGAGACCAGCTTCACGGCGCTGAGACACCATCTCCCTCCTTCCTGCCCTGGGGAGCCTGGGGGCCTGGGAAGCTGAAGGCTGGAGCGTGGGTGGCGATATGGGCATATCAATAGAAGTAAAGGGTCGAGAACGGGGGAGGAGTATTCTGCTTTGTACCAGTAAGAGGAAGTGGAGTGGTTCGAGTTAGTTAGGGAACTTTTAAGAAGAACTTGGAGAAATGACTTGCGTTTCTAGAGGCGGGTGACTAGGCCGGCCTGCGGTTCAGAACCCCGTCTAGTGAGGAAGGCACAGAAGAAGCAAGGGTGATACTGGGGGGCTGGCCAGGGGTGCGGCGCCTGCTCTAGCCTGCAGGGTGCTGGAGGCAGGGACTGGGGGCGGGCTGGACGCCCGACAGCTCCAGGGGGTGGGGCAGGGTGCTGCTCTGGAAGGGTGTGAGCTTCTGCCGATCAGCACACATTCACGGAGCACGTACTGGGTACCAGGCGGGCGAGCCCTGCCCTTCAAACTCTGAGCATCGTTGAGCCAAGATCTCTAATGCCAATGGGGAAGGCACGACGGGGGTTAGACGCGCAGGGCTTAGACAGGCCATGCAGGTGTCAGGGGTGGAGCCAGCAAGGTGGGGGTAGCCTCAAGAGTCCAGCTCAGGACGGTAGCTGGGGCTCGTTCCTTGGGAGCAGGTGAGTTGCCCACGTATTTGCAAAGGTGAGAGGATTCCAGGTGCTGACGCTGGGCTGGGTGAGGCTGGCCGCCTCCTGCCCTGAAGCTGGGGTGCCAGGGTCAAGTGCCGCGGTGACATGGGCCTGGGCTCGTGCTAGGTCTACAGCAGTGGCCGCCACTCGGTGAGGATCACGGGCGTCAGCGACATCAGCTTCCGAGCTGGCTTCTCCACCTGGCCCTCTCTGGACCTCAACCACACCATCGAGTGGCCCCTGCAAGGTACGGTGCTCCTGGAGCTGCCTTTGGGACGTGGCGGGGGCTCCAGGGGACCTGCTTCGAGTGCGGCTTCAGCCATTCTCTCCACACCCCGGGAACTGAGCCCCGGGGCCAGCACCCTCTCCAGCCCTGGCCCAGGTGATGCTGGGACCATTTACCTGGAGGATGTGCTCCCTGCCCTTGAAGGCCTTCAGGACCTTATGCCGTCCCCACTGCTGCTGAGTTCACACTCTCCTCTTGGTCTTTGGCAAACTTCCTTTGTCCCGAGCCCCACTAGTGAACATCGGGCTCATCCAGGAAACAGGTAGGTGTGGGTGAGCTGATGGCTTCCCCCAACAGGACAGCTTCCTACTCCGGTGACTGGATGTCCCGATGGCTGTTTGGATGCCCTGGGGGCTGACAAGGGTCAGCAGCCTGGGGGGATGTTGGAGTTGGAGGCACAGGGTCATTTTTCCGAGTGGATGTTGCCAAGGCGCCCCATCACGGCTCCACCTGGGGAAGGTTGGGCCCTGGAGCAGGCAGGCAGGGGCTTCTGGCTGAGATCGCCAGAGCTCCATGCTGGAAAGTACCATCTGTGGGCCAGATCAGGGGCCCTCACTTATAGTTTGGACAATATGGTCCCTTGTCACGGAGCCAGTCAGATGATGTTGCTGGGACCAGCTCAGAAGAGAGATGGGTAGGGACCTTGACCAGGTTGGGCCAACTCTAGACCACTGGAGAGTGACCAAAAATGGTGCGTGCCAGGACCCTAGAGCTGCTTTTGAGTTCGTATCGCCTCTATTGTCTGTCACTCTTGCCAGCCCCTGTTGGTCTCTCTGCTAGGATCGGCTGCACCAGCTTCAAAGTGGAACGGGGCTGCTCACTCATTTCGTGTTTGTTCTGGCCAATAACAGAATGGCGGGGAGAGGCAGGAAAGTCAGTTCCTATTCTAAAGCCGAGAGAGAGAAGAAGTCCTTGGTGAAAATCCTTAATGGAGCGCTGGAGTGGGGACCGGAAACTGGGTGGTCACCAGGGCCGGTCTCCAGGGGAGCAGGGGCCGCACGTGACCCTCTTGGGTTTCTGCTTTTGATAAAGACTTAGGTCCAATACATTTTTTAAAAAGAGAAAGATCAGGGCAATTGTAGGTGGTAAATAGCGGTTGGCGCTTGGCCCCTGTTCCAGGAGCAGCGGGGAGAGGGGAGGCTATGGCCAACTGGACAGTGGGTGCCTGGACCCCGGGGACCACTGCCACCTGCCATTGGCTGGTCGTTGGGACCCAGCACTGACACATTTGATTTTTCAAAGGAACCTGGACTTCTAGATTTTCGTATGCCCTTTCCAGATCGCTCAATGTTTCTTCAAAAAATGTTAAGACATTTTGCGGACCACACCAACCACACCCATTGGTCCCCAGTTTACGATGTCTGAGAGAAAAAATAAATAACTGTCTGAAAAGAAGGAGGCAGGAGAGACATTCCCAGATCACCCAAGGCAACTGCGAAACCCAAGTTGGTTCTGTGTTCTCTGGGGCAGTGTGAAGAGACAGCCAAAGAAAAGCTGAGCACGGGGCGAGGAGGGGCAGGCGTCAGAGTCAGAATTCCCGACCCAGGGTGTGTTCGCATCCGGGTCGTTCCCAGGACCTGCCTGACGACGGCCCGCGCCCGACGCAATGGTGGGGGAGAGCCCCCTTCCCAGCGCCACTCCATGCGAGTCCATGTCTGTGGAGTGGGGGTGAGGCACCCACGGGAAGCCGTGGGGCGGAAGGACAGCCGTGTTTCAGGACCACGGACAGTAGCAAGGTCCCCTCTTGCCTTATCCCACCCCCAGCATTAACCGGCACAGCGAAGAGAAGGCCAGGGAGCGAGAGTGGGCCAAGCAGGCTGGCCTTGACCGTGGTCCTGGAGCCCCTTGCTGGAGAGGAGCAGGGAGCCAAGCACAGAGGCCAGCGTCTCCTTCCTCTCCCCTCCCTCTGCAGGGGTGCCCATCTCGGTGGTGATCAACGCCACGGGCTTGCAGGCCCCTGGCCACGTGGACTCGGTGGAGCTCTCACACAGCTCGGGGAGGCCCCTCCTCACGCTGCCCGTGCAGCCCCTCTCCAACGGTTCCACCCATCAGCTGTGGGGCGGGCCGCCCTTCCGGGCACCCCCAGAGCGCTTCTACCTCAAGGTGAAAGGCGAGGACCACGAGGGGAACCCCCTCCTCCGTGTCTCCGGAGTTGCCTACAGTGGGGTGGCCCCAGGTGAGCAACCGGCTCTTTAACTCCCAGATTTCGGCCTTGCTTAGAGACCCATTTCTTCCTGGAAGGCTTCCTGATTAGATTATATCAGGAAACATTTGTTCATTCAATTTCTCCGGGCAGCAAGCTCTGCAAGTATTATGCTAAGTACTGAGATGCTTTGGATGTAGCCCTCAGCTCAAAGATCTAGTACAAAGTCATCCATCCATGTATACATCCATCTGTTTATCTGTATACGCATGCATCCATCCATACCCATTCATCCATCCAAACATCCACCCACCCATCCACCCATCCATCCAAATATCCATCTATCCATACATCCATCCATCCCCATTCATCCATCCATCCAAATATCCATCTATCCATGCATCCATCCATACCCATTCATTCATCTACTCATCCATCTACGCACCTATCCTTTCAGCCATTCACCCATTCATCTATTCGTCCATCTAAATATCCACCCACCCATCCATCCATCCATGCATCCATCCATACCCATTCATTCATCTACTCATCCATCTACCCACCCATCCTTTCAGCCATTCACCCATTCATCTATTCGTCCATCTAAATATCCACCCACCCATCCATCCATCCATGCATCCATCCATACCCATTCATTCATCTACTCATCCATCTACCCACCCATCCTTTCAGCCATTCACCCATTCATCTATTCGTCCATCTAAATATCCACCCACCCATCCATCCATCCATGCATCCATCCATACCCATTCATTCATCTACTCATCCATCTACCCACCCATCCTTTCAGCCATTCACCCATTCATCTATTCGTCCATCTAAATATCCACCCACCCATCCATCCATCCATGCATCCATCCATACCCATTCATTCATCTACTCATCCATCTACCCACCCATCCTTTCAGCCATTCACCCATTCATCTATTCGTCCATCTAAATATCCACCCACCCATCCATCCATCCATGCATCCATCCATACCCATTCATTCATCTACTCATCCATCTACCCACCCATCCTTTCAGCCATTCACCCATTCATCTATTCGTCCATCTAAATATCCACCCACCCATCCATCCATCCATGCATCCATCCATACCCATTCATTCATCTACTCATCCATCTACCCACCCATCCTTTCAGCCATTCACCCATTCATCTATTCGTCCATCTATTCACTGGCCTCCTCATTGGGCTCCGTGCCCTTCGCCTGCCTAGGAAGACCTCACAGAGGTGGGTGTCATTGACATTCCAGCTCCTGAGCTTTGCTGGAGAGCTCAGTGAGGTGTAGACTCTGTCCACTTCAGTAGCGGGGCAGGGGGACAGCGAGGTACTCATGGTGAGGTGGGGGACTCGAAGACCCTTCTTTCCAGCTTCCCGGCCTCCACTCCCCAACAGTGGTCCCCAGCCCCCCGATCCTTAGCCTTTGCAGC